TTGTGAGTAGCAAGAAACCCCCTACAGTTCTCCCATCTCTTCTCTTCATGGCAGGCAGCATTGCACTGTATAGCTGCTCATGCCCGCCATTTTGATTTTTTTCTATATTCATTACCAGTGGTGGGTTGCACCCGGTTCGGACCGGTTTGCAAGAACTGGTAGTAAAACCGGCGGGAGGCATGTGCAGAAGCAAGGCACGCGCGAGAGTGAAGCGGTTGCACATGCGCGAGCCCATTGTGAACCGGTAGTAAAGGTAAATAGAACCCACCCCTGTTCATTACCATGCTGAAATTTGGTCTTCTATATGTAATTTAGGCCAAAAGCAAGTAACAAATCTGAAAACCATGGTAGATTTCTTCATTGAAAATGTTAAATGTTTCAGATTTGTACCAATTTCCAATTTTTAGTTCCTCACTGAATATTTTACTGAAGATTCAAAGAAGGCTCTTGGTTTATTTATTTAGCCCAAGGCAGGCTCTCTGTATATACATTATTTGCTTTCCTTTAATCCTGCTAAATTCATACATCTGCTTATAGAATCAAGAACCTACATAGGAAAATTATTATGAAGAATAGATTTCAAACAATTTCTGTGCTTTTAGGACCTGAGAGTAACTCTTGTTCCACTAGCCATGTCTGTCTCACCTTGGATGTTGGGATGATTTGTCAGGAGGAGAAGTGCCCACATCAGAGAAGCCAAGGTTGTGTCTGTTGCATCAGAAAAAAAGTCTAAAATACACTGAGCCAGGTTCTTTTCATTGTAGGTAGATGTTTAAAATGGAAAATTACAATGAATTCTATCCAGCTTTTCTGTCATTTTTACTTCTGTATCTCAAGTCTAGAGAATAAATACATTCCTAGTGGCTATATAGGAATACCAATGCAGAAGAGTAATAATTAAAGTCATAGAGTCACACTGAGACACTTATCTTAAAATAGACAAGATGAAAGATAGCCTGAGGTTCTGAAGAACTTTAATGTGTTTTGTTTTAATTGATAGATTACCTCAGGAAATGTTTGCATGTGAAACAGTGACTAATCTGTACTTACTAGAGTGAGTCACAAAAATTCAGAAGCAGCATTACTAGAATTGCTGCATGCATTCAGACATTTAAAGTCATGCCCAAATTGACACCTATGACTGCTCTAACTATGAGATTTTGTGGCCATTGTGCCATATCACAATAATTTATGCAATTTTTAGGATACGGGTAGTCCTCGAGTTACAATCATTTGTTTGGTGATCGTACCAGCATCCCCATGGTCACTTGGCAACTGGCATGCTTTAATTGCGTTGTCCTGGGATAATGCAATCACCATTTGTAACCTTCCCAGCTGGCCTCTGACAAGCAAAGTCAATGGGGAAAGCCAGATTAGCACATGATTCACTTAACAACTCCAGTGATTCGCTTAACAGCTATGGCAAAAAAGGTCATTAAATGAAGCAAAATTCACTTAGCTTTGCTTAGCAACAGAAATTTTGGGTCCAGTTGTGGTTGCAAGTCGAGGACTACCTGTGTTGGATTCTTGTGAGATAATATTAACCATGCACCAAACCAGTGCAATTTCACGAAGAATTGTGGGACAACTGACACAATACAGACCATTTGTCTAGTGATAGAGAAGCATCTTGAGAAGCAAATCACCACAGATATGGCAGTCACTGAGCTAGAAAAAGCATTTGAAGAATTATCACATGATCTATTTCTTTCTCAACCACAAATGGTCCAATTCTCACCATTGCTCTTTATACTCAGTACGTACACTGAAACCAGAAACCTTCAATTGCAACACCCACGGATGCTATTATATGCTGCTGAACATGAAGCAACCTTGAATCGTTAATACAAGGGTGGAAAACCTGCCTTAATGGTTTAGGAATGAGGGCCTGTATTAAGAAGATTGTATATCTTGAATGTAGTGACCAGAACAATGGTACACTCAAGACTGACAATGCCAATTTGTAAATAAAGTGACCCAGCTCAAAGTCATTTCAAATCGATAAAAGTTGTTTCTAAAAAACAAAAAAATCAACTTTTTTTTCTGAAAACATTGGAAAGGAGGATCTTTTATCCTCGTTTCAAACATTTTACTTTTTTACTGATGGTCAAAGCAGTAAAAGTATCTGTTGGGGAAAATTGTGCAGCAGTTGTCTAGATGAAATCAGAGGCACTAACACAAAAGTGTAGTCTTTTATATGTGTACATAATATATATTTAACATTCAACATCCCAGAAGGAGAAAAACACAAGAGAGTCAGGAATATCATGAGGTAAATTTTGCAATATACAGAACACAGAGAAGAAAAAAGGCGGGAAAAATGGGAAATGCCCCCCCCCTTTATACTTAAGGCAACCAATCATAGCGTAGATTGCCTCATGCATGAGTCAGCACCCTCTAACTAAGCAATTTTCAGCTACTAAATTCAATATCCTAACAGTATCTGTCCTTTTCCCAACTTTTCAGGGAAATCGTTCATTTAAATATGAATTAATTAAAAGTCCCTGTTAATTCTTTTCCTTCTTAATGGAATTTCTTTAGAAAAAGGGGAAAGAAGTGATAGGGAAACATGAGCTGATGGTGAAATGATAATAAATCTAACTTCCCCCACAAAGAATCTTCCTTGTCTAACAAGAGTTTAAGATTGCAGAGGTACAAATATAGTTTTTATTCAGAAGCAATTCAGAATAGGAGCTGATTGGGGGAAAAAAAATCCAGTGAGGATAATCTCAGTAGCCCCTCATTTTTACTTATAGCAAGGAATATAATAATTCCTTTTTCATGTATTGAATCACAATAAACTCATACCTTCTCCATCTGAATAAGATAGTAATCAATGATAGATAGATAGATAGATAGATAGATAGATAGATAGATAGATAGATAGATAGATAGATAGATAGATAGATAGATAGATCAGAGTTGGAAGGGACATAATAGGTCATCTAGTCCAACCCCCTGCCCAAGCAGGAAAACCTACACCATCCCCGACAAATGGCAGTCCAATATCCCCTTTAAAGCCTCCGGTGATGAAGCTCCCACAACTATTGAAGGCAACTTCTGTTCCATTGGTTGATTGTTTTCACTGTCAGAAAATTTCTCCTCATTTCTAGGTTGAAGCTCTCCTTGATCTGTTTCCATCCATTATTCCTTGTCTGACCTTTCAACGAAATCTTGTGGCTCATGCAGAGAGTAGGATTCCTTGTGTTTCTCTATTTCCTCCTTTGCAACAGAAGTGATCACCTTTATAGAAGCCAAGGCCTCTTTGTGAGGGCGTGGGAAGTAGCTCATTAATCTTGGGAACACAACAAACATCTAATAGAAATGGAAAAGGAAAAGTTATTTATTTCCCACTACAACGAAAGAAGATGCTCAGCAGCTCACAGTAATAGACAGCATTTAATAACCAAAAAAAAAAAAAAAACATTGCAAATTCATTAAAACATGGCAAACCATACATGGTGTCAGACCTCAAAAATCCTCCATAAAAGCTGTTCCCAAATTCTTAAGAATTATGTTGTAGGCAGATAGATTATCATAAAGATATTATAAAATTCTGTTATTCTCCTATTCTCTCCAAGAGCATTTGTAAATATGGTTACCCACAGCTAACTGATTTAGACCAACTGGATTCACATGCCAGGCTAAATAATGAATTAACTACATGGGTTGGATTTTTGGTCTGCTTGCTTTTCATAACAGAATAACAGAGTTGGAAGGGACCTTGTAGGTCTTCTAATCCAACCCCCTGTTCAATCAGGAGACTTTATACCATTTCAATGTATACCTGTCCAATCTCTTTTTAAAAACTCCAGTGGTGGAGCACCCATTTGGAGGCAAGCCTGGTTATTCTCCTGCTCAGGAAATTTCTCCTTAGTTCTAGATTGCTTCTCTCCTTGATAAGTTTCCATCCATTGCTTTTTGTCCTGCTTTCAGGTCCTTTGCAAAACAAGGCTTGACTCTCTCTTCTTTGTGGCAACCCCTTAGATATTGGAACACTGCTATCATGTTATCCCTAGTCCTTCTTTTCACTAGACTAGACATACTCAATTCCTACAAGCATTCTTCATGTTTTAGCCTCCAGCCACTTAAATCATCTTTATTGCTCTTCTCTGCACTCTTTGCAGAGTCTCAGGACTTTTTTATATCGTGGTGACCAAAACTGGATGCCTTATAAGGCCTTATAAATCAGTACTAACCCTTCGTGTGATCTTGATATCCCTCTGTTAATGCAGCCTAAGATAGGATTGTTTTTTTGTTTGTTTTGTTTTGTTTTTGGTGGCTGCAGCAGAAGTTCTGGATGGAAGCAATGGGTTTAAATCATAAAAAAGCAGATGTTGATTTAGTATTAGGAAGTTTGAAAGAACTGTTCAATTATAGATTGACCCAGTTAAGACTGATTCTTGAGTTAAGACTGATTCAAGGACAGACACACCTATTGGGAATAATAGTACTGTCTACCCTGAAGCTGACATATATAATTTCTAAAGCTTCCTCCATGGATTCCATTCATGATTACATGAAATTACTGATGGAAACATAGGTTTGGGGGAGTTTTAATATAAAATATGACTCACCACGTGAAAAAAGCCACCAGAGAATTTCACAATAATTTCAAGGGCTTGAATTAACTTCTGGAAGTTTTCATCTTCAGGAGCAAACTGATGTCCAAAACTCAAAGCACATATGACATTAGAAACTGCATTTATTACTGGAAAGGAAGGGTCAAATGGCTGCCCTGCAGATGAAGATATTTCATAATTAATTATTAAAGAGCAGGAATTCTAAGGGGATGAGGAAAGAGAATTGGTTCAAAACTTTTAAAAAATAAAAAAAATACTGTACATCTTCTTTTGTTCAAAATACACAGAATGGAAAAAAATTCAGCAGATGGGGACTTGAGTCATTACCCCAAATTACATACCTTCTGTTTGTCTAAAGATCTCCACCAATGTCTGAGCTTTGTCTTCTATCTGATGCTCAATGCTTTTCTTCCTCAGGCCCAGCTTCCACAGAGAAGTGACGTCAATGTGTCGCTGCTGTTTCCAGGTGTGGCCATTGGAGAAAATAATTCCCGAGGACATCGGCAGACAGAAATAAGTGATTCCTTATAAATTTATGTTTAAAAAAAAATCTGTTAGATCTGATCTTCCAAACATCTTTCTGGATTTCAGGTAGGAATATCAAAACCCTGTGACATTTTGCATTTTATATGATTCTGGCTGTTTTATTTTTTCTTTAAAAATATTCATTCGTTTTGGGAATCACAAGGACACTGGGTGACATATGTGGTATGGTGACCACAGGAGCATTGCTGGCCAACCTCTATCTTATATGCGTTCAAACTGCTAGGTTGGCAGGAGCCGAGTCAAGTGATGAGAGTTCACTCCTTCATGTGATGGTAGGACTCAAACTGCCAGAGCACAGACCTTCTCTGGCACCTTTTAAGCCACTGAGCTTAAAATGGGGTATTAATTGTCCTTAAAACCAAAGTATTCACATGTCGGTCTTTTATCCACCTCCATAGAGTAGATCTGTTCTTTGTTATGTTGTCTAACTTTAGTGGTCTTCTGATCATTCTGGAACTCCATAATGAAATGCCTAATGCAAGAATTGATGTTTCTTCTATCATGGTTCATTAGTGATAGTCCTCAACGTACAACCACAATTAGGACCTCAATTGTTAAGCAAGGTAGTTGTTAAATGAGTCATGTCCAATTTTATGATTTTTTTTAATAAGGTTGTTAAACGAAGTCATTTTTTTTTTCAGTCCATTGTAACTTTGAATGGTCATTAAATAAATGGATGTAAGTGGAGAACTATTATAATTGTTCCCTTCTAAAGCTCTCTCTTTCCAGTCACTTTTCCTCTCACCTGAGAAGATTTCTTTGTACGTGTAGTAGGTTACATGCTCGGAAAAATTCTTTTTCTAGGCCAGTTTTCCACCTTGCATTTATCAGAGAACAAAAATGATTGGCCTGTTTGGGTGATTATGGATGGAGGACAGTGTTGCTACTGTACTTTCTCCATTCTGTCAGAGGTTTAGGAGTTCTTACTGAAGGTATCTAAAAATTGTATCTGAAATAGTATGAGTCTTCTATTGCAATGTTATAAGAAACTTGTAAAGCAGAAATTTCTGATTTCCAGTCAAAGGTTAACATATACGCTGTATTTGGAATATTTTGAGTCTTCTCTTGCAACGTTATATTGTAAGAAACTTGTAGACCACAACCTACTACTTGGTAAGCTAAAAAAAAAAAAGGTGGGATAGATATCATCACCACCAGATGGATGTGTAACTGGCTTATCAACCATACTCAATGAGTAGTCCTTAATGATACTATATCTACATAGAGGGAAGTAAGCAGTGGGTACCACAAGGTTCCGTCTTAGGCCCAGTACCCTTGAATATATTCATAAATGAATTAGATGAGGGACTAGAAGGGGAACTCATCAAATTTACAGATGATACTAAACTGGCAGGAATAGCCAACACCCTAGATGATAGGCTCAAGATCTAGATTGATCTTGACAGACATGAACACTGGGACCTATCTAACAAAATGAAATTCAACATAGAGAAAAGTAAAGTCTTACACTTAAGCAAGAAAAACCAAAGTTACAAGTATAGTTTAGGTGAAACCTGGCTTAATAGCAGTAACTGTGAGAAGGATCTTGGAGTCCTAGTGGACAATCAATCAAATATGAGTTAGCAGTATGTGGCAACAGCCAAAAAAAGCCAATGCAATTCTAAATTGCATTAACATAGCGATTGAATCAAGATCACGTGAGATGCTAGTACCGCTTTATAAAGCCTTAGTAAGCCCACACCTAGAATACTGCATCCACTTTTGGTCACCACATTATAAAAAAAGATGTTGACACTCTACAAAGAGTGAAGAGAAGAGTGACTCAGAAATTCAGGGCCACCAAGACAAAATCAACAAACAATTCATCTGGTGGGTTTTTTTTCTTAGCTAACATATGATCTGAAAATCAAAGACATTCATGTCACTCAGGTGTGATCACTTTCCGTATACCAGGAAGCTTTGCTGCTACCACACACCTCTTTATTTAGATCATATCATTCAGATGCAACTGCAATTTCTAGGAGGCACCTGGGGAAAGGTCCCAGAAGCCTGGCAGGCCCTTCTGTTGGGAATCTACTCAGTCTCCAGAATGCAGGGATAACAAAGGGACTAGGCAGATTACTCTGAAGGGACCACTTTATTTACATTGATTCAGAGGAAGATCTTGAATCATCAAAGAATTCTGACAGAGGAATTGCCAGAAAAGACAACTGGAGCAAGACTGACAAAAAATATTTGGGGAAGGTTGTAGAGAAAGTGATTAGGCTGCAACTACAGAGGGCTTTAGATCACGGCTGTCAAACTCGCAACCTGCAGGCCGGATGTGTCACGCACTGGCCACACCCACCCCCCGGTTTGGTGAAGGGGATAAAATATCATGACACGTCACATGATGCTGCCATGACAACGCAAGTGTGACACCCCTGCTTTAAATGAAGCTCATAATTAGATCCAGTTGAGGTTCAGCTGGGATGAAAAATGCATTGGCTGCTCTTGTCTTGTGGATGTTCTGCACTGGGATGTGATGGGGGCATATTTTCTTCTTTTGCTAATTCTCTCAGCATCATTTCATCCCTTCAAGCATGGCATCATTTTGGTCTATCTACGAAATCTGGTTGGGGAACATGGTCCATAGGAGAAATTTAGTAAAAATGAAAAAGATACCAAAAATAAAAGGAAATATGTTTTATTGGCACCCAAAAGGAAACAAAGATAAAGCATGATAACCTTAGGTTTTTTCACACACATCCTCCCAGTCTTTGGTTGATCTTGTTAGGTATGTTGCATGAACCCAGCAATAGGTTGAAGAAGTTTCAGTATTGAGTAAATAGAAGCAAAACACAATATTAAGTGAATTGGTATATGTATGAAACATTTATCATACTGAACAGCTCTTCTATATTTAGTGTTATGCTTTTTTGTGGTGTTTAGCTTTAAGCCTTTGTGGGAATAGCACACAGTTTATAAGGCTGTGGATGCATTGTCACTTTTACAACAGGTGCTTCATTGAGTTCTTTCACTCCTTCAGGCAACTGGAAGCTGAAGGCCTTCAACAGGCTGGTCAGAAAGATGAAGATCTCAATTCTTGCCAGTTGCTCTCCCACACATACACGCTGACCTGTAGGTGAGACAAAGTATAAAGGGAATAATGATCACTTCTCCAAAATATACCCCATCAGCAAGGAAACGTGAGAGAAGATTTGTAACGGATGAAACACATTTCCCTGTTGAACCTTGGTATCTTCCAGGGATGAAATGTAAAATTTGTTACTACTGTTTCTGTGGGCGTGGCTTGGTGGGGGGGGTAATGTGACTGGGTGGGCGTGGCCAACTTTTTTTTAAAAAAAGAGGTTGCAGAAAAAAATGCTTTAAAAGCCTCTGATGATCCCAGCTGTATTGTCTGATCATCAGAGACTTTTCAAAGCATTTTTTAAACCGCCTCTTCCCCGGAAGAAGTTGCAGAAAAAAACGCTTTGAAAAGCCTCTGACGATCCCAGCTGAGCCTCACGATCATCAGAGACTTTTTTTTTACTTTTAAAAGCATTTTTTCGGGGGAAGAAGTTGTAGAAAAAAAGCTTTGAAAAGTTTTTTTAAATTTTTATTTATTTATTTATTTATTTGTTTCCATTTCTATACCGCCCTTCTCCAATAGGACTCAGGGCGGTGAACAGCCAAAGTAAAAAACAGAGCATACAAAATTTAAAAACAGTATTAAAATAATTAAATATTTTGGCCGTAAATTAAAACAACCCAATTTAAAATCAATTTAAAATTTAACTCATTTAACTCAAATTTAAAAAGCCTCTGATGATCATGATGACACAGTGGTTAGAATTCAATATTGTAGGCTAACTCAGCTCACTGCCAGCAGTTCGATTCTGACCTGCTCATGGTTGTCTCAGCTTTCCATCCTTCTGAGGTCGCTAAATTGAGGACACAGATTGTTGGGGGCAATATGCTGATTCTGTAAACCACTCATAGAAGGCTATAAAAGCACTATGAAGGGGTATATACTGTATTTTTCAGACTGTAAGACACACCTTTTCCCCAGTGGATGGAAATGTCTCTGCATCTTATAGACCGAATATGGCCCTGTTTTTAGCCTCCCAAAACACGGGGGGGGGGGTGTTTTGGGAGGCCAAAAGCAGGGCCATATTCGAACGTCCTGTTTTCGCCAAAAACAAGCCTGTTTTTGACGAAAATGGGACACATGAAGAGTTTACGAGGCCTGCAGAGTGTTCCTGCAGGCTGGGGAGGGCAAAAATGGGACACATGAATCGGGAGGCCAAAAACGGGCCTGTTTTCTCATGAAAATGGGCCCGTATTTCACAAAAATGGGATGTGCAGAGGGTTTGGGAGGCCTGCAGAGTGCTCCTGAGGGCTGAGGAGGGCAAAAACTGGATGTGTGGAAGCCAAAAAACTAATTTTTTCTCGTCATCCTCTTCGAAATCATAGTCCGAAAAATATGGTAAGTGCTAAGTGCTTGCTATTCCTAAATAGACAGAATGCCAATTTGAGTAGACCATCTGTTTCCTGCTCAGGAATGCCTGACTATAAAGGTGATCCTTGCATAGGAAGGTTTATAGTAAGGAAGAATGCTATTGGTAATATTGATAAAATTTTAGTCTACCTTATAACCTTTCACTTATAACCTTTAGCACTAGCTAACCCTTTAAGAAACCTATTGTTCTTAGTTTTATATACTACTCCATAAGGGTTTACTGCATTCTGGGAGTGATTTACAATGTCAGCACATTGCCCCCAACAATCAGGCTCCTCATTTTACTGACCTCAGAAGGATGGAAGGCTGAGTCAAATTTGAGCCAGTCAAGATCAAACAGCTGGCTGTGGGCAGAGTTTTCCTGCAGTTTTCCTTTCTAACCACAGCCACACCATGGTTCAAGCTTTAGCTGAACTAAGCCACCCAAATTCTTTTTATTATAAGATGGATGGCATACTGTATTAATTACTTGTCTTACTATGACCTTGATGATGTATGCAAGATACTGCTTTTAATGATTGTTTTATAAAGATATGTATTTCCATAATATGTATCAATATTTCTTTTTGAAATACATTTATTTTTCCCTGTTGAAGCATTTTGCCTTATTTTGATGGATCAAAAAGTTATTCAGTAATCTACCAGTCCCAAAGTCTCAGTTATCTGTAACACCAAAAAGCCAATATTGAAACAGTTTACTCAGTCCCAAAATTATTTCTCAGGATGCCCAATATTTATAGTTATTTATAGTCCTCAACAGGTTAGTTTACTTCTAAGTTCTCCAAAAAGTTTTTTTCTTCTTCTTCTTTCACCTCTTAAGCAGTTATCAGACAATGTTTATAATCCTAGGTGAATCCATCAGATTTCACCATGTCTTCTTAAGTCACACAGTCAACTCTTCAATTTCAGTGATAATTCCTGGTATTTGTAATCCACTCTACTTAGAAATCTTCAAAAGTCTCACAATTTGTTCCCCATCAGTCGTGAAGCAAATAAGTATAAAATAATATGCAAAAAGGCAGTCTTCCAGATGTTGTTTGTCTCCACTCTCTTTTCTGCCTTATCAATCCTCAGATTATTCCAATGTTATTCCCAGCCTTGTAAAAATATAATATATATATTCTTTCACCAGTGGATGGCACAGTTGATTGTTGTTCCAATTTTCTTCAAACAATTTCTTCCAATAATCAACCAAATATTCCCAGCATTTCAAAATGCCTTTTCAAAATATTACCAATAAAATATTTGAATCCAGTCTTTCTGTATTTTAAAACTTCATATTCTCCCCTTAGGTTTCACTTTCGGTAATCTTTCTCTAAGTGTTTATTCGCCACTTTCTCACCGCTTTAGAGAGTCTTTCTTTTGGAATTTCTTTTCTTTGGGATTAGATCTCTAGTATAGAACTTGAAAATCACCTCACCCAGTTCCAGGCCACTGTTCACAAACTGCTCCAGCACATTTCCTTCTTCAGTTGTCCCAGCTTCTCGGTGGCCATAATGGTCACCTCTCCACTTCATTGTTGGATGGGAGGGCACCTCGGATCAAGCAGAAGAGCCGCCGCTCTCCGTGATCTGCAAGGGCCCCCCTCCTTTCTTTGTCATCCCTTCAGGGTGAGTTTAGTGCCTTAGGGCCCTCCAACGATGAGGATTCGGCCTAGGTTCACAGAGCCCCGTTACCCACGACCGTCCCGCAGCAATGCCAAACTGGAATTCCTAATCTTGTAGCTATCTTACAAAGCTCTACTGATTACAATCTAAATATAAAATCTAAATGTAATTAATATTTCTTTGTAGTTTAAACTTGGTAGCCCAAGAGAAATTTCAGACTCTCGTGGTTTTCAAATTAGAAGGAATTTAGATTCCTTGATTTTCTGTTCAGTCCATGATGAATTCAGAACAACTCAATGATGGGGGCGGTAGAATCTATAAGTGATAAACTGCTTTGGGTTCATATACGTACCCATTCCGAAGGGCAGAAACTCTTTTCTCTCTATGAACTTCCCATCCTTATCTAAAAAGTGATTTGGGTTGAATTCTTCAGGTGTCTCCCATTGTTCAGGATCAAAGAGAACAGAACGCAAGTCTGCGATAATAATGGTCCCCTGCAAACAAAGAGATGATTAAACAGAGCAGTTTCATAAGGAAAACAGGCAGAAAAGTTCAAACAATATTGATGAAATATTTGGTTTTAGTTTGCCTTTATGGACCCATATTTGTTCATTTCCAAAAACAGTTTCTGAGAGCAGTAGCTGTTCTTAGCATTTCTCACTTTTGGAATGTGGTAATCCTTCATCTTTACATCTTTTGTAGTTTGCCTGGGAGCCCCAGTTATCAAGACATATTTTAGACGCTGTATTTCATGAATCACAGCATTGGTGTAGGGCAGCTTCTTCCGATCCTGATAGGAAATTGACTGTGAGATGTCAAACACATCTTTAATCTCCTTCTGGACTTTCTCTAGAAAAAAATATGGAAATAGAAGCTTCATTTCCTTCATTTGTTTCCAAATTTTAATCCTTAGAGGCCTATTGCTACCAATGTTCTTCAGAGTATGTGATCTTCACCTTCAATTTATTACTGGCTTCTGAATTCCTTATCAATTGGAATACCAAAGTTCACAACCCCAGCTAGGCCTCCAACCCCAGTTGCCAGCTCATTGACCTTTATGTCACCATTGTCCTTGGCCCACCTTACCAGAGGGCTCCAAATCCATCTCTGGTCTCTGGGTTTTGCACTCCTCCTTCCAATCTCTGACCTCTGATCTGGGACACATACTTCACTTCAAAGGCCCCTGTTGACTTTGGGCAAGTTCTTGCTTCCAGTCCCTGCCAGTGTGTCATCCTTCTGGGCTGGCTTCAGCTCCCGCTCCAAGCTAGCTCTTTACTGTACCTCTATCAGCCTTCCACCCTCAAGACACACTCTTTGGCATGGCTTCCAGCCATGCAACCCCTTCAGACTGGCACTGGATCACACTCTCTACCTCCCTCTACCTCCCACCAGTCCCTTAGAAGAGTGGTGGCACATGCATTTAGAATGCTGGGTTGACAATCACAAGCCTGTGTTCGAGACCTGAGTGCTGCTCTATGCTTGGGTGAGCGCCTGTCATTTGCTCTAGCTCCTGCTGATGTAGCAATTTGAAAGCATGCAAACATGAATAGATAAATAGTTACCACTTTGGTTGGCTCATTTAGGGGATATGAAAGGCATCCCCAACTTGGCATCCTCTGGGCAACAGTGATGACACTGGTTAATACTTTTAACCTGGAAGCACCTCGGTACTTCCAACATTTTACGACGATGAACAGTCCCTTGTCCAAGTCATGTCCCTCACTGCTTCAAACAATGGTCCTAGGTTGGCGCTCCCTGTCCACCCCAAATCTTCACTTTTTTTTAATTTTAAAAAACAAACTTTATTGAATTTAAAAATTTAAAAATACAAAATTATACAAATTTTTCTCAATCATAAAATTGCATATACAATACATAACCCCACAGACAAACTAAATATATGTACCTATGTGTACATATATACATACATATATAAACAGTGATTTATTTCTTATTCTATCTACCTTATGGTGCTTATTTGTTACATTTGATTTTTCCTAAATTTAGTCTTTGCCCTTTTTTCTTTTGATCTATCCACTTATACCATTTATTCCATACTTCAAAATATTTTGAGTCTTCCTTGTCTTTTAATTTTAAGGTTAATTTATCCATTTCTGCACATGCGTAAATTTTTTGAATTATCTCCTGGTCTGTTGGCAAACGATCTGTTTTCCATAATTGTGCTAATACCAATCTTGCCGCCATAATTATGTGTAGTGTTAAGTATTTTATGTCCTGTCTAATGTTCCTTTTGATCATGCCTAATAAAAAGATTTCTGGTTCTAATTCAATTTCTTGATCTGTTATTTCTACTATCCATGTTTTTATTTTCCTCCAATATTTCTTGATTTCTGGGCAAAGCCACCATGAATGGAAGAAAGTACCCTGAGCTTGCTTACATTTCCAACAAGCCGAATTTACATTCGGGTACATTTTCGCTAACCTTGAAGGAGCTAGATATCATCTATACCACATTTTATAATGATTCTCAATTATACTGTAATTGTTTTCCCATGCCCTTTCCCATTCTTCTAGCTGTATACTGTGCCCAATGTTCCTTGCCCAAGCTATCATCTGTCCCTTGTCCTGGTCATGTCCCTCAGTGCTTCAGACAATGGTCCTAGATTGGCTCTCCCTGTCCACCCCAAATCTTCACTGGTTGACAGGGTGAAAATACAAGTCTCAGCTGCCTCTGGACTCCAGATCAATCCCCTGTCTTTGCCAGGCCATCCCAGTTTGGTCCCTTCAGTCTCTGGACTCCAGTCAAATAGCAGGAAAGGCAGTAGCAGGGCAGGAAGAAGATAAGGTTAAGGGGAAGATTGAGGATTGAGGGCTTCCTTTGGTGCTCCAAGTGTTGAAGAATCTCCCACAATTTTCCCATCCCTTCTCTTCATGGCAGGGAACCTTGTGTCATGCATCTGCTTGCTCCTGCCATCTTGATTTTTTTTTTCTATATTTATTATTGTTCTGAAATTTAGTCTTGTATATGTAATTTAGGCCAGAAACAAGTAACAAATCTGAAAACCATGGTAGATTTCTATATTGAACATGTTAGTTGTTTCATATTTGTATTGATTCCAGTTTTTAGTTCCTTGCTCAACATTTTATTGAGAAATCAAAGAAGGCTCTCTGTACATACCTGGCTTTCCTATAATGTTGCTAAATTCATTCCCCTGTTTGTAGGGTCAAGAATCCACTTAGGAAAATTATTATGAAGAATAGATTAAGTTCCTCATTCAATAGCTTAGTATTTCAAATTCTTTCTGTGTATGTATGTATGTATGTATGCATGCATGCATGTATGAACTCGATTGCAGAAAATATGACTTCAGCAACAGAATGGTCAATGCCTGGAATGCACTACCTGACTCTGTGGTTACATTCCCAAACCCCCATAACTTTAATCTTAGACTGTCTACTGTTGACCTCACCCCATTCCTAAGAGGTCTGTAAGGGGCATGCATAAGTGCACCAACGTGCTTACCGTCCCTGTCCTTCTGTTCCCATATATTTGTATCCTTTTCCTGAATTCATAATCATGTTTATACTTATATCTGTTATCTTACGTGTTTGACAAAATAATAAATAATAATAATGTTATGAGAATGGCACTTGTTCCTATTGACAGATGTGTCTCACCTTGGATGTCAGGATGATTGGTCAAGAGGAGCAGAGCCCACATCAGAGTAGTGAAGGTTGTCTCTGTTCCACCAGTAAAAAAATCAGAAATACTCTGAACCAAGTTTTCTTCATTGTAGGTAGAGTTGGGGTCATTCTTGCTCTGATGTTTAAAATGGAAAATGAAATTACAACAATTCTAAGAGATTTTTTCTGAAGTCTCAACATCTTTTTATAATGTGGTGACCAAAACTGGATGCAGTATTCCAGGTGTGGTCTTATTAAATATTTTTAAAATGGAACTAATACTTCATGTGATTTTTATTCTATGTTTATACAGCCAAGGATTTTATTAGCTTTTTTGGCTGCTGTCTCACACTGCTAACTCATGTTTAAATGAAGTCCACTAGGACTTCAAGGTCCCTCTCACGGTTACTGTTTTTAAAACAGATTTCGCCTAATCTGTACTTGTTACTTTGGTTTTTCCTGCCCAGGTGTAAAACCTTGGTTTTCTCATTTATGTATTTTTTTTAGTCCTCAATTTATAACTGTTCATTTGGTGATTATTCAAAGTGTCCTCAGCACTGAAAAATGTGACTTATGACCACTTTTCATATTGTTGCAGCATCCCCATGGCCATGTGATCAAAATTCAGGTGCTTGGCAACTGGCATGTATTAATGATGGTTGCACTATCCTGAGGTCATATGATCACCATTCGTAACCTTCCCAGATGGCCTCTGACAAGCAAAGTCAGGGGGGAAGCCAGATTCGATAAACGATCATATGATTCACTTAACCACTGCAGTAATTCACTTAACAACTGTAGTAAGAAAGGTCATAAAATGGGGCAGAATTCATTTAACAACTGCCTTGCTTAACAACAGAAAGTTTGTGCCCAGTTGTGGATGTACATCAAGGACTAGCTGTACTGGATTCTTGTGAGATATCAATAAGCTTTCACCAAACCAGTGCAACATCACGAAGAGCTATGGGACAAATGACACAATGCAGTCCATCTGCCTATTGATGGAGAAGCATCTTGAGAAACAAAACACCATAGATACGGCAGTCACTGAGCTAGAAAAAGCACTTGATCATGTACCACATGACCTATTTCTTTCCCATCCATAAATGGTCCAACCACTCACCATTGCTCTTTATAATTAGTGTGGACACTGTGACCATAAAGCAACCGTGGATGCTGTTATATACTGATGATACCATGATGGAGAGTGAAAGATGAATTGAAGCATTGAACCATCCTTGAACCATTAATTCAAAGGTGGAAAATCTACCTTAATGGTTTAGGAATGGAGGTCAGTATTAAGGAGACTGTATATGGCTCAGTGGCTAAGACACTGAGCTTGTTGATCGAAAGGTCAGCAGTTTAGCGGTTCGAATCCCTAGTGCCGCATAATGGGGTGAGCTCCCATTACTTGTCCCAGCTTCTTCCAACCTAGCAGTTCGAAAGCACGTAAAAATGCAAGTAGAAAAATAGGGACCACCTTTGGTGGGAAGGTAACAGCGTTCTGTGCACCTTTGGCATTTAATCATGCCGGCCACATTACCACGGAGATGTCTTCAGACGGCGCTGGCTCTTCGGCTTTGAAACGGAGATGAGCACTGCCCCCTAGAGGCAGAAACAATAGCACATATGTGCGAGGGGAACCTTTACCTTAAATGTGGTGACCAGACCGATGGTCCACTCAAGACTGATAGTATCAAATTGTAAATAAAGTGATCCACTATAACTTCAAATCAATAACAGTTGCACTTAAAAAAATCAAATCTTTTTCTGAAAATGTTGGAGAGGAGGACCTTTAGTCCTTGTTTCAAACTGTTTTACATTTTTACTTATGGTCAAAGCTGTGGAAGGATCTGTCCTTTTCCGATCATTTCAAGATAAGTTTAAGTTTACTTTATTGTCATTGCACCTCGTACAGTGAAATTAAATGCCATCTTCAGGGTACATCATACATAAAAAAACTATAAAAAAAAACCACACACAAACATCCTTCACATTCTATATAATTGAATTGAAACCCCCTGATACTGCATTAATATTACACTATACAGTGTAATAGTATAATAAGTATGTTTTTAAGTAAGAATTAATCAAAAATCCCTGTTAATATAGTGAAGGATATGTGTTTGTGCTTTTTTTTATAGTTATAATGTACACTGAAGATGGCATTTAATTTCGTTGTACAATGTGCAATGACAATAAAGTAAAGTAAACTAAACTAATTATTTTCCTTCTTAATGGAATTTCTTTAGAAAAAAAGAGGAAAGAGTGATAGGCAAACATGAGAGGATGACAAACAAAAATAATTTTAACTTCCCCGACAAAGAATCTCTCTTGTTTAAGTTTAAAATTGCAGAGGTACAATATAGCCCTTATTTAGAAGTAACCTGAATAAACATGGGCTAAATTCAGAATAGAAGTTGAATGAAAAAGAAAAAAAAATCCAGTGAAGACAATTTCAATAGCCCCTCCTGTTTGCTTATAGCAAGGAATATAGTGATTCCTTTTTCATGTATTGAACCACAGTAAACCCATACCTTCTCCATCTGTAGAAGGTAGTGATCAATGAAGTCTTGTGGCTCATGCAGAGCGCTGAATTCCTTGTGTTTCTCTATTTCTTGCTTGGCAAAGGAAAGGATCGTCTCCATAGAAGCCAAGGCCTCCTTGTGAGGGCCTGGGAGGTAGCTCATTAATCTTGGGAACAGAATAAACATCTAATAGAAATGGAAAAGGAAAAGTTTATTTATTCCCCACTACAAATAAAGAAGGTTCTCAGTAATAGACAGCACTTAATAGCTGAAGAAAAACACTATAAGCACATTAAAACATAGCAAACCATGTTTTAGTGTCAGAACTCAAAAGTCCTTCAGAAAAGCCATTCCCAAGTTCTTCCAGAAAAGAATTATGTTAGAGGCAGATTGATTATTATAAAGATATTATAAAATTCTCTTATTCTCTCATTCTCTCCAGGAGCCTTTCTAAATATGGTTAACCATGGCTAACTAATCCGTTCTTCAAAAAATCTGCATTCACATGCCAAGCTAAAAAATGAATTAACTACATGGATTGGATATTCGGTTTGCTAGGTTTTCATAAGAGAATAACAGAGTTGGGAGGGACCTTGGAGGTCTTCTAGTCCAACCCCTGTTCAAGCAAAAGACTCTATATCATTTCAGACAATAGTTGTCCAATCTCTTCTTAAAAACCTCCAGTGATGAAGCAGCTGCAATCTCTTAAGGCAAGCCATTCCACTGGTTAATTGTTCTTCCTGTCAGGAAATACCTTCTTAGTTCTAGTTGCTTCTCTCCTTGATTAGTTTCCATCCATTGCTTCTTATCCTGCCTTCAGGGGCTCTGGAGAATAGCTTGACCTCCTCTTCTATGTGGCTGCCCCTTAGATATTGTAACACTGCTATCATGCAGCACTACTCCTCGTTTTCACTAGACTAGATATACCCAAGTCCTGCAGCTATTCTTCATATGTTTTAATCTCCTGCCTCCAATCATATTTGTTGCTCTTCTCTGGACTCTTTCAGAGTGTCAAGATCTTTTTTATATCATGGCGATATAAAACTGGATGCAATATTCCAAGTGTGGTCTTACCAAGGCCTTGTAAAGTGGTACTAACCCTTCATGTGATTTTGATTCTATCCCTCTGTTAATGCAGCAAAAGAAGTTCTGGATGGAAGCCATGGGTTTAAATCAGAATGAAGCAGATGTTGGTTTGGTATTAGGAAAAAATTGTAAAAACTGTTCAATGACGGACTGACCCAGGAAGTGGTAGACCATCTTTTCTAGAACTGTTTAAACATGGGATGGACAGCCAACTGCTGGTGAATACTGAAATGATGGATTCCTTCATTGGCAGAACCACTTTGGTACAGAGGTTAATGCACAAATTAGAAACTGAGTATTAGTCCCAACTCAAGCACTCAGTCAATTGGGTGAAACTGGACCAGTCCCTCTCTCTCAGACCCTGGGAAGTGGGCAATGGCAACCCACTTCCAAAATCTTGACAAGAAAACTTAAAAGACTTGTCCAGTCTACTGGGAATAATAGTACAAAAGATGATTTCTAAGGCTTCCTCCATGGATTCCATTCATGATTACATGAAAATACTGAGGGAAAGAGTTTTGCCTCTTTAATAGAAAACATGACTCACCAAATGAAAAAAGCGACCACTGAATTCCACAATACTTTGAAGGGCTTGAATTAACTTCTGAAAGTTTTCATCTTCAGGGGCAAACTGATGCCCAAAACTCAAAGCACATATGACATTAGAAACTGCATTTATTACTGGAATTGAAGGGTCAAAGGGCTGTCCTGTAAATGAAGATATTTCATAATGAATTATTAAAGAACAGGACTGCTACAGGATAAAAAAATTTATTGGGGACTTCCGGTTTCCTTGTCTTCGGCGACGGCGGCGCTCTTTGAAGCTCCGCCAGCCCCGCCGCCTGTAGAGCCGCTTCGCGATCGAGAAGCGGCTCGAAAACTTCAAAATCCTGAGGATTGTTGGAGGAGAGATAGTAGGGCACAGGTCGAGCCCCTGTAACCCCCCAGGGAATCGTTTCTGGGGAGGAAACAGGCGCGGCTCCCTTCCAACCTGCTGAGACTCCGGGCGGCGTGGGACGATTCTGCTTCTGCAGAACAAGCCGGCTGCAGGAAACTTAAAGCGAAAGAACCAGCTTTAATAAACAGCGAAACTACCTGAATCCTGAAATTTGGAAACGCAAGTATTAGCACTTTGTTGACTTTTCAATCTGAGAAAATGCGAATGAGTGAAAGTGCTTTGAAAAAACATGGCGCCTAGCTTCAGAGTTAACGAGCCAGCGAGTGTGGATTGGTGAAGTTATTTTGTTTTGCTACAAAGTTTCCAAGTTGCTACTAAGCTGCCTTGCTTGTTATAAGAGAAACAACTGGGAAATTTTTTCCCTTTCTCAATATTGGACTTTGCTTTATTTTAACCCTTGTTTGATCAAATCTGGGGGACTTTTTTAGAAGTCTTTGTGCTGGAGGGAAAGGAAAAGGAACCTCCCTCTTTAGAAAAACTAGATCACGAGCCAGGATGGCTTCAAAGAAGCAGGAAGGGAAGGCATTAGGGGGGGGATCCCCCACACACAAACATCAAACGCAACTTCCCCCTGCTCAACAGCTACAAACTCAGAAAAAAGAATTTGATGTGGGAGATTTAAAAGAATTTATTTCTAAAACTCTGGATGACAAATTTCAAAAATGTCAACAGGAGATAGATGATAAATTTCAAAAATCACATCAGGAACTTATGCAGGAAATTAATGAAGTCAAAGACATGGTGAAACAGAATCAAAATAAGGTGACCAAAAAAATATCAGAAGTGGCGTCTGGCCTGGCAGAATTTATTGGGAAAGTTGATTTTAAAGTTGAAGAATTCAAATCAGAAGTTAATGTTAAGATGAAAGACAATGATTATAAAATTGATGAAGTTGACAATAAAATGCAGAGAATTGAAGATGAGATTGTTATGATACAATTCCGGGCGATGGAATTTGCCATACGGCTTCGGGGAATTCGAGAGGAGGAGAGACAGGATTTGAGACAGGTTTGCTCTGAAGCCTTGGCTAAGATTTTACAAGCTAATCCTGATTTGGTATTTCATAAAATAGATAAAATTTACAGAGTGAACTCTTGGGTGGCCAGACAAAGACAATTGCCTAGAGATGTGGTCATATACTTTACTGAGAGAGAAATTAGAAATGATATCCTGCAAAAATCTTTTCACACTTCTGTACAAGTGGGGGGCTCACGACTTGAAATTTTTAAAGAATTACCTCCCAAAATGCTGAAAGCTAGAAAAGAATTTGGTTTTTTTGTTAAGGAATTGAGAAATTTACAGATACCCTTCCGGTGGGACGCACCAGCTGGGATAATTTTTAGATATAAGGGAGAAGGATATCGGTTGAATACCGTGGAGAAGGCACAACACTTTTACAGTACTATTCTTAAGGAAAGAACACCATCTCCACGTACATCTACAGTTTTGGAGATTAAGGAGAGTGAAGAGAGGCAATTGAAAGAACAGTCTAAGCAGGAATTAGAAAATGTGCAAGGTGCAGAAGGAGGTTTTCTGAGTGAGCCCTTGTTGGATTCTTCTCCAATTTTGGATTTGATTCAGTTGACAGAAGTTAAAGATCAACGTATAACTAGAGCCCAATCCAAGCTATTTAAACAAAAGCAACAACAACAACAGGAAAGACAAGACAAGAAGGCAGTTAAGAGTACCGTACAAGAGAGTGGAGCTATGGGAGGAGCGAGATCGAAGCTCTCGGATGAACTTCAAATATTTTGCTCTGTGCTCCAGAAAGAGGCTGATGACCTTTAAGTGTCTATCTTGGAATGTCAATGGGTTGAATTCAGCACAGAAAAGGAAGAAATTATTTACATATTTGAAACAATTTAATAATGATATAGTATGTTTACAAGAAACGCATATCACAACTCAAGATCAAAAATATTTGATAAACTCAAAACTAGGAGCACATTATATATCTTCAACTTCGCAGAAAAAGAATGGTGTGGTTATTTATGTAAATAAAAAATTAACAGCGAAAGTTATAGAAGCAGATCAAGATGGTAGGTTTGTAGCAATTGAATTGCTCACAGCAAATGGTCAAATTCTTTTGATTGGAATTTATGCTCCCAACCAACAACAGGATTATTTTTACAAGATGTTACATACTAAAATATTGCAATGGGACTATAGATCTATTTTAATTATGGGAGACTGGAATGGAGTAATTGATTCTAAACTAGATAAAAAGAGCTTGGCAAAGTCTAGAATTAGACTACCACAGACTTTTTTTGATATGAAAGAAGATATGGAATTAAAAGATGTTTGGAGAATACATAATCCAAATGAATTGGACTACACTTTTTTTTCGGATAGACATAGATCTTTTTCTAGGATTGATTTTATCCTGTAGTCAAATGATCTACTTGTTAAGACAAAAAGAACAAAGATTTGTCCAAGAACTCTGACTGACCATAGCCCTGTATGGATAGAAATTGAGATGGATAAGGTTGAGAGACGTTCTTGGAGATTAAATGAGAACTTGTTTAGATATGAAAAAAATACAATAGAACTTAAAAAGCATTTGAAAGAATTTTTTGAAATAAATTTGAATAAAGGTACCCCAATTGAAATTGTTTGGGATGCAAGTAAAGCTTATATGAGAGGGGTACTCATCTACATGAATTCTAAACATAGACTGTTCCGACAAAAGAAAAGATTTGAGTTGGAAATGGAAATAAAGAATAAAGAACAGTTACTTATTAAAAACCCAACAGATGAAAGAATACGAAGTGCTATAAAACTTTTGAAAGATCAATTTCAAATGCTTATGGCGGAACAAGTTGCAACAAGTTTACAATACGCGAAGCATAATACATTTTGCAACGCTAACAAACCAGGCAGATGGTTGGCTTACACATTGAGGAAAAAACAAAGTATACGGACTATTGATAGTATTGATATTGGAGGGAAAGAAATCTTTCAACAAAAACTAATTAAAGAAGCTTTTGTGGATTATTATACTAAATTATATGCCAAAGAAGAGGTGCAGAATGGATTTATAGAAAAATATTTAAAGGATAAGAGAGTTACAAAAATTACTGATCAACAAAAGGAAAGAATGAATTATCCTATAACAGAGGAGGAGATAACAGCAGCAATTAAACAGCTAAAAACAGCCAAAGCTCCTGGCACGGATGGTTTGACTGCAGTGTATTACAAAACTTTACAAGCTGAAATGGTGGGACAACTTAGAGATTTATTTTGCAATATTCAACAAGGGGGCAAAATACCCCCATCTTGGACAACTGCTTATATATCTTTGATACCAAAAGAACAAGTTGGTCCTAAAAAACCAGAGAACTATAGACCAATATCTCTTTTGAACACAGACTATAAAATTTATGCGAAGGTATTAGCCAACAGGTTGATGCCAGTAATCCAAAAGGTGATTCATGCGGACCAAGCGGGATTTATTGAGGGCAGATATATGAAGGACAATGTAAGGCAAGTAATAGACTTATTGGAATATCTTGACAAGAATAAACAGATTTCTGCAGTGCTGGTTTTTTTGGATGCGGAGAAGGCCTTTGATAGAGTGGATTGGAATTTTCTACTAAAGACTTTAAAAAAGATGGGCTTTGGGGACCAATTTATACAGGCGATCTCAGCAATTTATCAAGAGCAAAAAGCACAGATTATTATTAATGGAAGTTTGACGACAGAGTTTAAAATTGAAAAAGGAACAAGACAGGGATGTCCGTTGTCCCCACTTTTATTTATTTTAACATTGGAAGTCTTGCTAAATACAATACGGGACTCAAAAATTTTGAAAGGCATAATGATAAGGCAAGAGGATTATAGAATAAAGGCATTTGCAGATGATCTGGTGGTTACCCTATCACAACCAATGGAATCAACAATCCTGATGAACGACATTATACAAGACTATGGTAGAGTTTCAGGTTTTAGAGTGAATTCAAAAAAGACTAAAATGATAGTCAAAAATATGACACAAGATCGTAAATATGAGCTTGAAAGGAGGGCAGGTTTTGAAATTGTACCTAAGGTAAAATATCTTGGAGTTCAGGTTGCAGAATCAAACATGAAATTGTTTCAAAATAATTATGAGGTGTTGTGGCGAGAGGTTCAGAAAGACATGGAGACTTGGAAAAAGCTGCAACTGTCTTTACTTGGAAGAATAGCAGCAGTTAAGATGAACATTTTGCCAAGATTTCTGTTTTTGTTTCAAATGATTCCGGTGCTTAAAAGTGATAAACAACTGAAAGTTTGGCAAACTGGACTTAATAAGTTTGTCTGGAACGACAAAAAGCCGAGAGTGAAATTGAAAATTATGCAAGATGTTCCAGAAAGAGGAGGCCTTAAACTTCCAAACCTACAGTTATATTATGATGCAGCAGCTTTAACTTTAACAAGTGATTGGTTTGGAAGTAAAAAGGCTGGAATATTGAATGCAGAAAGTTTTGATCTTGAATTTGGATGGCATGCTTACCTATTTTATGATGACAAAGTTGATAAAGTATTTAAAAGTCATATACTTAGAGACTCTTTGATGAGAGTTTGGAAGAAGCACCGACTCAAATGGGATTATAAAATACCGCTATGGCTGGATCTTGGTCATACTTTGTGGAATACAAATATAATGTCACTCGGGGGGTTTTTATACAAAGAGGTTCTTTTTACAGATGCGGGCAGATGGCAGCTGAAGACATTGCAGACACTGTTGGACGAAGGGATTAATTTAACTTGGTTACAATATAATCAATTACAATTGAGATGGAAAGAGGACCAAAAAAAACTGGTATTATGTTGCATGAGGAAGAATTGGTTAGACATATAAAAGAGAAAGGTCCAATGCATATCAAAAGGCTTTATAATGTTTTGTTAGAAAGGGATTCAGAAACTGAATTAGTTAAAGATTGTATGATTAAGTGGGCACAAAATTTTGAAGAACCAGTGATGTTGGAAACATGGGAAAAAATTTGGGTTCAGAATGTTAAATTTACACAGTCGCAGAACCTGAGGGAAAATTTCTATAAAATGTTTTATAGATGGCATTTAGATCCCAAAAAGTTGTCATGTATGTACCCTAATGTTCAGCCAAAATGTTGGAGATGTGAATGTTTGGATGCTACGTATTATCATGTTTGGTGGACCTGTAGGAAAGTTAAGGCTTTTTGGATAAAAATATGGTGGGTCATGCAGAATGTTTTGAAGAAAAAAATTCAATTTTCTCCACAATTGTTTTTATTGGGCATAGTTAAGGGTTTTACACGGGATGAAACAAAATTAATATTGTATATGATAACAGCAGCAAGATTGTTGATAGGTAAATATTGGAAGAATGAAGCTTTGCCTACTATCGAGGAATGGACTTTGAAGATGGCCAGTTTTGCAGAGATGGCGAAGATTTCAGCATATTTAAAAGATTGTTCACAAGAGACTTATGAATGGGAATGGAAAAGGTGGATAGAATATGTTCAGAACAAATACCAAACTAGAAAGTACCAAATAGCTTTTATTTGAAAATAATGTATTAGAAATATCTTAATGTAAAGAGATAAAGAGGGAAAATAATATAGGGGGAGGGATGGGTTCAGGTATATATATCAGTGTTATTAGTTATGAGTACATAATAGGGAAGTCTGGGGGGGAGGGTTAGGGAGGGTTAGGGAGGATGGGAAGTTTGGGGAGGGAGGTGGGGGGGTGAAAAAAGGGGTGAAAATGTAATTGTAAAACTTTTGCAATAAAAAAAAAATTTATTGGGAACTCTATCAATTGTTTCAAAAATGTAAAGAAAAATTCATATCAAATACACATATCAAATACACATTTCTTGTTCAAAATACACAGTGGAAAAATGTTTGTAGACAGAGGTTTGAGCCATTACCCCAAATTACATACCTTTTGTTTGTCTAAAGAGCTCCACCAACATCTGAGCTGAGTCTTCTATTTGATGCTCAAGGCTTTTCTTCCCTAGGCCCAGCTTCCGCAGAGAACTGATGCCAATCCGTCGCTGCTGTTTCCAGGTGTGGCCATTGGAGAACATAATTCCTGAGGGCATCAGCAGACAATGATAAATGATTCCTTATAACACTCATGTTAAAAAAAAAAACCCATTAAAGTCTAGTTCTTGCTACACATCTCCCTGAATTTCAAGTGGGAATACCAAACTTTTGTGCAACCTTGCCATTTTGAAACATTTTGGCTATGCTAATTTTTATTATAAAAACATTTATTCATTTTGGGAGTCACATGGACACCAGGAGATACATGTGGTCATTACATATAGTAACCACAGATGCCGTGCTTGCCATCCTCTATCTTATATGATGGACATCAAAAGCTTCTAAGATGATGTAAATGTTCAGGTAAGAGAACATACATTAAAGGCACAAGAGACAAGATATTCTCAGGTGTGGCATTTGTAACTTCCTCCTATAAGATTAAAACTAACCAGCAAAAATGCCTTTTTTATTCACCAAGTTTAATCAAGTTACTAATGAAGAATATTTGTAGCTCAGGGTTGAAATGAGATGTCCTTGATGTTCTCTGAGCTTGGTTGTTTTCTTGCAGATGTTTCATTACTGAAACTACGTAACTTCATCAGTTCTCTCTTTGATAAGTTTCCAGTCATTACAAGTAGTCCTTGACTTACAACAGTTTGTTTAGTGACTGTTCAAAGTTACAATGGCAGTAAAAAAAAGTGACTTATGACCACTTATAACCATTGCAGCATCCCCATACTCATGTGATCAAAATTGGATACTGACTCATATTTATGACAATTGCAGTGTCCCAGGGTCCCAGCAAGTCAATGTGGAAGCCAGATTCACTTAAAAAACATGTTATTAATTTAACAACTGCAAGGATGCACTTAACAACTATGATCAAAAAAGCTGTAAAATGGGGCAAAACTCACTTAACATAAATTTTGGACTCAATTGTGATCGTATGTCGAAGACTATGTGGACTTCTTGTCCTGTCCCATGGTACCCTAAAGAACAATTCAAATCTTCAAGTACTGGAAGGCAATTGTCATGTCCCCCCTAATCCTTCTCTTCGATAGGCTATACCAGTGATGGCTAACCTTTTTGCCATTGCGTTCCAGGGGGGCAGGAGAGGTTCACACATGTGCGTGCCCGCACCCATAGTTCTATGTGCCCTGCCCTGTGCATGCGCATGCAAACACCACCCCCAGCTCCTGCCACGCGATGGCCTGGTAAGCCCATTTTTCTTTCTCACCTGGCTCCAGATCCTCTCTATGCATCTGGGGAGGGCGAAAACAGCCTTCCCCACTCCCTTGAAGGCCCTCTAGAGACCTGAAATGGCCCATTTCCCAATTCCCAGTTGGACAGGAAGTGACGTTTTTTGCTGTCCCCAGCCTCCAGAGCCTCTCTAGGAGTCTCTGGAGGTTGGGGACAGCAAAAAAAATCACTTCCTGTCCAACCGGGAGTTTGGAAATGGGCCCAAAAACCAGTTGGCCGGCGTGCACATGCATGCCAGAGCTGAGCTGGCGTGCCCACTGATATGGCTACGCATGCCACCTGTGACACATATACCATAGGTTCACAATCACGGGGCTATACATACCCATCTTTGTACAATTTAACCTCCAGATTCTTTATCATTTTTATTCTCTTCTCTGCACATGCTCCAGGGTTCAATATGTATCGTGGTGACCAAACCTGGATTTTATTATTATTTTATTTTTCATTGAAAAAGTTTTTCAAATACAAATTTTCCCCCCTTTCCCCCCCCCCGCTCCCTAACCCCCCCTCCCCCTCCCCTCCCCCCATGGCTTCTACAAGATGAAATCCAAATTAATATTACATTATATAATACTTTACCACCCTTTTACACCACCCCCTATGTGCTAAACATTTCTTTCTAACATTATTATTATGTCCCCCGTATACTATACATTTCAAAACAGCATTTGGCGACTTCCGGTTTGCTGTTTGTCGCTGCCAGACGTTCCTTTGGGATCGTCAGCTTCCATCGCCTGTCAGAGCCGCCTTCACAACGGAATGGCGGCTCGAAAAAACTCCATTTCCATGAGGAAACGGAGATAGAGCCGGCAGGGATGGGTAGAACTCTCTGCAGAGTCCCAAAAGTTTTTCCTTTACTTTTGGGACGGAGCGGATGAGATGCCCCGCATCCCCAGCCGCCACTCCGGGCTTTGGGAGACCTCTGCTGATGCAGAGCCAGGCGTCAAAAGCAAGCCTGCAAATTTAACAGACTACTCAAAGAAAATGTGAGCTGGACCTGTAATACTGAACCGCAAGTATTTTACTGATTTTTTTAAAAAAAAATTACTTAAGAGAGAGGAGGAAAAGAAAGAGGGAAAAAAGCCTTTTAAAATGGCGTCGGCTGGAGGAGAGGCTGAAAGGGAAAGTCCTTCCGTTTTTTATTACTACAATGTAGCGGAATAAATACCACTGGCTACATTTGTAGACAAAACTTCGCTCCTGTGTCTTTTTCTCCTTTTTTTTTCCCTTGGAGACCTGATATTGTTGTTGATTGGAAAGAACCAAACCCACAAAAAGAAAAGAAAAAAAAAGAAATAGGTGGCATAAAAATAGAAATTTCTAAATCAGGCAACAGTGAAGCCAGTGACTTTAAAATATGAATGATTATGTGTAAACATGGAAGAGGCGACGTATTGGTTAATATCATCCTGAGGATTGTGGCAGATCTCTGCATGGCCGTAATTTGGGGACGTGAAACGAGCCTTAACCTGATGGATTTGAATTATCCACTTTGGAATTTCTTTTTGTGTTGATAAACATATTATATTATCTTGAATCACAAGGCAAGAGAATTATGCTGGGGCATGCAGAAGATCGGGTTGTTACCCACTACAATGATGGGAATTAATAATCCTGATGAAACCCATAATTATTACTATATGGAATATAATTATAATGTCACTCGGGTGGTTGTTTTTTACTTTTATACATATAAGAAGATATTTACTACTGATGGGGGTAGATATGATTGAAGATCCTGAATAAACTGTTGCACCAGCAAGCTATGTTACCCGATTATGGATGTTGGTTCTATCAATCCAGTGGAAAGACCTCAAAGAAGATACTATATGGATTATAAATTTAAAGTCATTGTCTTTTCTTTTTTTTTTATTTAGATATATTGGAAAATATAGACATATATTTTTAAGTAGTGTGGGCAGTGAATCAAAGATATTAAGAAATGTTGTGTATGGTAATTTTGCATGATAGTGGGTGAATAAGCTAGTTAGTAGATTGATTAGTCTAAGAAAAGGGATTTTTAAGTGATATATTTAGGGGAGTGGAGGAAATGGATAGAGTGGAATAAATGTTAAACTAGATTTTATGGGGAAGGCCGCTTTGAAATGTTATAGTAATATATATAGAAGATTAAATGTTAAAGTAGGACTTATCGTATAGTTAAGTGGAGAAGTTATTCTATAATGTTATAGTATAATGTCCTTTTTTTTCCCCTTTCTTTTCTCTTTTCAGAAATTTATGGATAAAGGGGGATGTTATAATATTAATAATATTTTTAGTAAGTAAAGGTCAATATTTAGAGGAGGGAGTAAGTAATCTGTTATGAATTAGGTTTTTTTTTTGTTATGAAGAAGTCACAGGGGGGGATGGGTGGGGAGGGGGGGTTAGGGAGGGGGAGGGGGAGGGGGGAAAAAAAGGGGGAAAATTTGTATTTGAAAACTTTTTCAATAAAAAAAACAGCATTTGGCTATAAAATTATGTAATAAATCCTAATTTGGCATTTATTCTACTCATAATCTACCCATTTCCTCCACCCCCATACATATATCTCTTAATTCAAATCTTTTAAGTATATTAATATCTAAACATAGCATCCCTTTTCCTAAACTAAGCAATCAGTAACGTTACCTATCACCTTGTACCATATCAATTTTATTTCACCCACTTTCCTACAGGTCTACCATACATAATATATTTAATATCTTTATTCTTCTGCCCATATCACTAAAAGATATTTCCATATATAAATAAAACTCTCAAATGACTTTAAATTTGTATTCCATGTAGTATCTTCGGTAATGTCTTTCAACTAGATTGTTAATTCCATCGACCATGTTACGGTAACATCAAGTCCTGCTTCCAACAGTATATTCAGTATCTTCAATTACCATCTGCCCCCATCATTAATAAGTATTTCTGTATATAAAAAAAAAACCCTGAGTGACTTTATATTTATATTCCATATGGTATCTTCTGTAATGTCTTTTATCTAGATTATTAATTCCGACAACCACGTTAGGGTAACAGCCAGATCATCTGCATGCCCCAATTCCATAGTTCTCTTGCCTTATAGCTCAACATATATGTAATCCATTTTTCAGAGAGTCCAAAGTAGAAAGTTCCAATCCGCTCAATCACAGGCCATCTTCCACATCCCAAAAACACCAGCACTGCAGAGATCTGTTATTCTTCTCAAAATAGTATAAGTCTGCAATTTGCCTCAACTATATTTTCATGTATCAGCCTTCTATAAATCCCGCTTATTATATTTAATCGTCTCTTAAATAACTGGCATTAATCTGTTGGCTAAAAAAGAATTGTAGTTTAAAAATTTTTAGTTTTGTAGAACCTGCTTCTTCTTTTCTTAACTTGTTGTGGTTTAGATCTCCACCCTGGTTGCCTTTCTAGGACTTGTATATCAGTTGATTGAATTACATGCTGGTCTTTAACTTGATAAGACATCAAATCAAGATCCAAAGCTGCCTCTCTTATATTTATAGGTGATCCAGCTATAGCCTCTGAAGGAGAATCCAAAAGCGACTCATCCAAAAAGCCCTCTATAACTTGTCATTTTTCCATTACCTCCATCTCCATTTGCTTAGCCTGAGTTTCAATCTGTTGTTCATTTTGCTTTTCTTTATCCCCCTCCTGTATTCCTAACACTGATGGCATACGTGGAGATGTTGGGCCCATTTTAAAAACCTTGTTGTAAAATTCTTCTGCTTTTTCAACAGTGTTTAATTGACATCTTTCTCCTTGATATCTCAATATTATACCAACTGGAGCATCCCACCTAAATGGGATGTTTTATTTCTTTAGCTCAGTCACCAAAAATCCAAAGTCCTTTCTATCTTTTAACATCTTGGACGGCAGCTCTTTATATATCCAGATCTTCATTCCATTCATTTCTAAAGTGGAGTTGAAAGACTTTTGCACAATATCATTTCTTATTCCTTTATCAGTAAAATAAATCACCACATCTCTAGGCACTTGTCTTTGCTTTGCCACCCAGGAATTTATTCTGTAGGCCTTATCAATCTTACAGAATACTTCTTCAGAGCTGACCTTTAAAATCACAGCCAGAACTTCAGCAGACATCTTTCTCAAGTCTTCTCTGCTATTTTCCTGTATTCCCCTCATTCTGATCGCAAATTCCATAGATCTGAATTGCATCATTGTAACTTCGTTTTCAATCCTTTCCTTTATATTATCTACATTGTAAATCTTGTGATTAGCTTCCTTCATTTTAGACTCTACTTCTGAGCTATTTTCTTGAATCATTGTCAAATCATTTTCAATTCTTTGTATTTTATTATCCAAATTATGAATCTTATAATCAGCTTCCTTCATTTTAGACTCTATTTCTAAATTGATACCTTTATTCATCTGTACAATTATTTCTGAAAAGCTTTTCAAAGCTGTTACAATATAGCGCTTCAGGTTATCATACTTTTGTTAAACCAACTCTTTAATTTCCTGTCTAAATTTTTCAAGATTCAGGTTCATAATCTCATCATGTCTTGCCAACTCCTCCATAACAAATTCCTTTAAATCTTTAAAACCATTCTTCTGCATCTGCAAGCTCAAAAATTGCTCTTGTGATTTATAAATGGGGGAGCCCCCCCCCCACAGCTTGGTTGTCTGGCTTTGTCAGTTTTAACGCCATCCTGCCACACAAACAGACTCTTTTTAAAGAAAAAGTCTTCTCTCCACACAATATCAATATCAAGTCTCTAAGAAAGGAAGAAGCATGAAACAAAAATTTTTTCTCTTCTCTTGTAGCCAGCACTATTGCTTCAAATACTTTGTAACATATTAAACCATTCAAACGGAAAGACTTTCGCTTTCAGCTTTCTTCTCAAGCCTCAGCCAGCCGCCATTTTAAACTTTTTTTCCCCTTTCACTCTTTCTTCATTCTTAAAATCAATCATAGGGTTGTAACAAATACTTGCAGTTTAGAGTCCCAAATCCAGATTTCATCCTGCTTATTCAAGCAATCTGTTAGTTTTCGCTAATTAGGTTGGTCACATCGTCTAGCTCTGCAAAGCGCAGAGTTCTCCCAAAGCCCGGAGCAGCAGCGAGCTGGATAGGGAGCCTCATCGTGCTTCCTCCCCAAGAGTAAAAAAAAAACTCTGGGGATTTCGCAGAGGGCTCTACCTGCTCTTGCCGGCTCACCTCACATTTCCTTAAGGAAACAGAGTTTTTCGAGCCGCCTCCCAGCTGTAAAGGCGGCTCTTTACGGGCGGCGGGGGTGGTGGTCCCAAAAGACCGTCTAGCGACAACGGAAGCCAAACCGGAAGCCCTGGATGCGGTATTTTAAATGTGGTCTCACCAGAGTGATGTAAAGTGGTGATATCAGTTCTCATTGTCTTGATGCTACCCTTGGGTTGATGCAGCCTGGAACTGCATTCGCTTTCTTGTCAACTGCAACAAATCTCAGCTCATACTTAAGAAGTGGTCCATTAGGACACCTAGTAAGAGCAACCAGAGCCGGCTGCAGGTGCAGCCGGGCAGGCAGGTGCACATGCAGTGGGGCGCAGGCTTAAGGTGCCACCTCCATGCAGAGGGGCAACCCGATGGTATGGTAGGTGCGTTGCTGCCGCTGCCACTGCGCATCTACCGAGAGAAAGAGGGAGGGACTGCCTCCGACCGCTCCAGCAAGTCATTTTTATTTAATTAATTTAATTAAGAATGCTGCAATGGGCATCTTTTTTTTTTTTTAAATTTTTAAATGTTTAATTGGTTTGTGGTTTTTTAAATTTTGGGCCAAATTTATATAGATTTTAATTGTTTTTAATATTTGTATTTCATGTTTTTAATTCTGGCTGTGCACTGCCCTGAGTCCTCAGGGAGAAGGGCGGTATATAAATTGAAACTAAATAAAATAAATAAATAAATAAATGATGACCGGTCAAAAGTGTGAGGACCTGTCAGAAATCACTTTTTTCAGCCCTCTGGGTAGTCCCTATGTGCATATGGACTACTCAGAGGGCTGCAAAAGTTATTTTTGACAGGTCCTGACACTTTTGATCAGTCCTTGCACTTACGACTGTCCTCACATTTTACCTTTTGCTCCCTATCTTGTCACCATGGTTAAGAGAAGTAGTTGTGAAATGACTGACATGGTTGTTAAGAATGCTGCAACGGGCATAAATGTGAGGATGGTCATAAGTGTGAGGACCGGTCAAAAGTGCGAGGACCAGTCAAAAATGACTTTTTTCAGCCCTCTGAGTAGTCCCTATGCACATAGCCATGCTCACCCGGTCACATGACCAGCTAGCCATGCCCACCCAGTCACATGACCCCCCCAAGCCACACCCCCAACTAAGCCATGCCCACAGAACCAGTTGTTAAAAAAATTGAATCCCACCACTGACTAAATCTAATTCTTATACACAGAAAGTACTGAAAGCTGATGGTTCTATATGTGGGTAGTCAGTATGAAATTAGTGCCTTTAGGTGAGTTGACCATATAGAGAGAATTGATGAAAATCCAAGCTGGAGAAAGTGGCAAAATTTGAAGGAAGAGGCAATTTTTTTAAAAAAAAGGCAAAATATGAAACAAAGGAAAGGATTGAAGAGGCAAGGGAAGATTGAGAAAGTTTTTGTTGAATGGGGATGATGAGAACCTGAAAAAGCAGGTAGATATTTAGTGAAAAAGAAGTCATGTCTAAGTCAATGTATGAATGTAATTGACAAGATAAAATACAATTGAGACATATAATAATTTGGTGAAAACTGGATTATAGCTATATTTCTTTTGCATACCTCATTAATTTAAATCATTTTGTTAACTATACCTTGCCTATTCCCCCCATGTTATGCATATTATACAAATTGTAACAGTGTGATGGTTTTTCAGATACAATTCCTTACTATTTGCACTTACCCCTTTCTTTCCCTAAAGCAGTGAAGAAAGCATCATCTGATCGATCAGAGAATTCTTTTGGGAAGCTGGTCATTGTTTCTTTCACAGTTTTGAATCCAGACAGCACTACTACAAAGCGATGTCCAAGCGAAATGGAGTATATATTTCCATATTGTTTTGCAGGCTGCCAAGTGAATCAAAGTTGAGAAATGTTACAATCAAATAAAACAGATTATTTATAGTTAATATGCCACTTACAGGCTTTCCTAAATCCTCAATTCTAAGAAATTTATTTATTTATTTACTTACTTACTTATTTATTTATTTTTATTTTGTCAAGCATATATAAGATAACAGGTAAAACTATAAACAATTTGAATATATGAAAAGAGTAAAAGTAAAAAGAAATATTAGGATAGAGATGGTAGGCACTCTGGTGCACTTATGCACGCCCCTTACAGACCTCATAGGAATGGGTCAACAGTAGACAGTTTAAGGTTAAAGTTTTGGGGGTTTTGGGAAGAAACCACAGAGTCAGGTAGTGCATTCCAGGCATTGACCACTCTGTTACTGAAGTCATATTTTCTGCAATCGAGTTTGGAGCGGTTTACCTTGAGTTTGTATCTATTATGTGCTCATGTATTGTTGTGGTTGAAGCTGAAGTAGTCATTGACAGGTAGGACATTGTGGCAGATAATTTTATGTACTACTATCAGGACGGCCTCCTTTCATTATCCAAGAAAGAAAAAACCCGACTCCATTTTCATAGAGAAAGGTAACTTTTACTAGATAAGAACTGAATGCAGTCAAAGAAAAGCAAGGTCTGAAGCAAAGGCACGAAAATCACATATAGAAAGCATCCTCCCCAACTGTCCATCATCCAATCCACAGGTTCTCCAGGGGTCATGTGGGAGCAAACGTCTGGCAATGTAATCCTCTTGCTATGCCACAACCGTTGACCTGGAGACATTATCAGCCAGCTTCAAAGAAAACCACTGCAGCAAAGTTTTACTTTTGTTTCTCCTCCAGCTCGCTTCCCCCCTCCCAAGAATTCCAATAGCTTCCCCCTCCCCCCGTTTCATGGCAGCTGAGCAAGTAAGCAATGAGCAAGAAAGCAGTGGCTGACATTCGGCCCTCCTGCAGAAGAGGCATTATTCCCACAAGAAACCAAAATGACATAAAACAGATGATCACAGAAATAGAGCATGACATAAAAAACAGATTACAGTTTATCAGGATATTTGGAGTGAAACAATTGTACTTTCTTAGGAGCGCGAACATCTCATTTATTCACCCATTCAGCCTTAGATAATGGGAAATGTTTCCAGGCCACCAAATACTGCACCTTACCTCGATACTTTCTAGAGTCTAAGATCTCTTTGACCTTAAAAATGCTGTTCCCCTTCGATTAGTATGGGGACAGGAGGAGGTTCTTGGTCTGGACGTAAAGAGGATGAATGCTCCGGTTTTAGCAAACTTACATGAAACACTAGATGAATTCACCTCAAATTTTTTGGTAACTCCAATTGTACTGTGATTGGGTTAATGATCCGAACTACCGGAAAAGGACTCACATATTTGGGACCAAGCTTTTTAGACTTTTGGACAGTTTGCAAGTATTTGATGGAGAGGTAAACCATATCACCAACTTTATAAGTCCATGCTTGAACCCTCTTCTTATCGGCTTGGGCCTTATGAGCCCGATGTGCTTCATTCAGTGCCTTGCGAGTTACAGACCAAGTGGCATGTAACTGTTCAATCCAATCAACCAAGGAGGGGTTTTGTGGTTTTTCCTGAGGCAACTCTGGAATGGGCACAAAATCTTGGCCAGAAGCCACCTTGAAAGGGGTAAACCCTGTGCTGCTATGTATGGAGTTATTATAGGCCACCTCTGCAAACAGCAATAAATCTGCCCACTTATCTTGCTGATAATTTATGTAACATATCAGATATTGTTCTAAAATGGAATTGGTTTTCTCACAAGCCCCATTAGTTTGGGGGTGGTGGGCGGAGCTTAACCCTTGGATGGAGCCTATCAAGCCTAGGAACTCCTTCCAAAAATGGGAGGTAAATTGAACTCCTCTATCTGAAATTATATGTTCTGGAGCTCCATGTAACCTGTATACATGTCGGACAAACATTTTTGCAAGTGTTTTTGAAGAAGGGATCTTGGGACATGGGATGAAATGCACTTGTTTGGAAACCAAGTCAGTAACCACCCAAATAACTCTGTTCCCCCACTTTCGGGCAATTCTACAATAAAATCCATGGAGATTTCCTTCCATGGGGCACCTGATCTGGCAACACTTTGAAGCAGTCCAGGTGGCTTTCCAGGAGGCCTCTTGGCCGAAGCACACATGGGACAACTGGCCACATATGTCTCTATATCCTTCTTGAGTGCGGGCCACCAGAATTGCCGCTTAACTAGATGTAACGTCTTCACAAACCCAAAATGCCCAGCAACTTTGGCATCATGAGTGTGCTGTAAAACTATTGTTCTCAGACTGGCGGGTACATATAGCTTGGCTCCCATCCAAGCAAGTCCTTCCCGAAGTGTACACTCATTTGAATGGGCCAGAAACCACTCATTGGTCTTTAGGGCTTCTTGTAGTTGCTTAGTCAAGTTGTCCGACAAAGTTGGATCTGCTTTCGCCTGGGCTCTAGTAACTACTGGTGCAGCTAGTTGTATTGAGGGGATAATTGGCCGAATCACCTCCTCTCTAACACTATTGTATTGCGGCAGTCTAGAAAGGGCATCTGCCATGAAGTTCTTCCCTCCAGGAAGGAAGCACAGGGAGAAATTAAATTGGTTGAAGTGTTGAGTCCAGCGGGCTTATTTTGGGGACAGTTTATGTGGCGTTTTCAAAGCTTCTAGGTTTTTGTGGTCAGTCCACACCTCAAACAGGTGCTTAGCTCCTTCAAGGAATTGTCTCCACGTTAACAGTGCCCAATGAACTGCAAAAGCCTCCTTCTCCTATATGGCCCACCTCCCCTCAGTCTCCATTAGCTTACAAGAGGTATAGGCACAGGGTTGCAGCTTTCCTTCTGCATTGGCTTGTAGTAATACTGCCCCTACTGCTACATCGCTGGCGTTAGCTGGTACAACAAAAGGGGCGTCCATGTCAGGATGTTTAAGGACCGGTTCAGCAGCAAACAGCCGTTTTAGTTTCTCAAACGCCGCCTGACAGTCCATAGTCCATTCGAGGGGCCAGGAGGGCTTTGGTTTCATTTCTCCTTTCGTCTTCAGAAGATTTGTAATTGGCAATGCGATTTTGGCGAATGAGGGGATGAACTGTCTATAGAAGTTAGCAAAGCCCAGGAAGCTCTGTAGTTGTTTGCGGATGCGGGGTGGGACCCATTCCAAAACTGCCTGGACCTTTTCCGGATCCATCTCTATTCCCTCATGCGAGATGCGGTATCCCAGATAGTCAATTTTGTTTTGGTGGAATTTGCACTTGGATAGTTTGGCATACAGTTCAGCAGCTCTAAGTTTTTTCAGGACGGTCCTCACCAACTTTACATGGTCCTCCATGTTCTCGGTGTAGATAAGAATGTCATCCAGCACCCCCTTGTACAGGTGTTCATGCAGTACTTTGTTGATTAATTGCATGAACACAGCAGGGGCTCCTTGCAGTCCAAAAGGGAGCACTCGAAACTGGAAACATCCCAGCAGGCAGTTAAAAGCCGTTTTCCATTTATCCCCTTCCTTAATCCGAACTCTATAATAGGCCTCCCGCAAGTCCAGTTTGGTGAAAATTTTCCACTTGCCTAGGTGGGCTAGCATGTCCTTCATGAGTGGCAGGGGGTAGACATTTTCTACACAAATGACATTCAGGTTTTTGTAGTCAACCACTAAGTGAAAGGATCCATCCTTCTTTTCCCAGAAAAGTACTGGTGCTGCCACCCTTGGCCTAGCCGGTTGGATAAAACCCCATTTTAAGTTTTTGTCAAGAAAGTCTCATAGTTCCCCCATCTCTCGGGCGGTCATGGGGTAGATTTTTGGCTTAGGGAGTTTTAGTCCAGGGAATATTTCAATGGTACAGTCTGTGGGCCAGTGGGGGGGCAACACGTCTGAGGCCTTCTCGCTGAACACCTCCCAGAGGTCCCAATACTCCTTTGGAATCTTTTCCTCCCCCGCAATGTGGTCTGTTGCCATTGCCACCTCCTCGTTTTCCACTCCGTCCACCAAATGAGGTTCCTCCCCTTCCTTCCCTGTCTTTTTAGAGCGAATGCGCAAAACTCCCGTTCTCCAGTTTATGTGTGGGTTCCATTTATGGAGCCAAGGCAGTCCAAGTATGAGAGGCCACTCCATGCTTGGGGCCACTATAAAACTAAGAGTCTCTAGGTGATCCCCCATTCGCATCTCGATTGGCTCGGTCACAAAATTGGCTGGGCCCCCTCCTGCCACCGATCCGTCTAGCTGACAGAATGCGATGGACCTTTTCATCGCTTTTAGACTTAGGCCCATCTTTTCAACCACGTCTGGGCTGATTATGCACCTGGTGCATCCGGAGTCTAGAAGGGCTGGCATCTGGCCATGGGCCCCAGTGGATAGTACCCTTAGTTCTACTGGGATGGTCATGGGGCCCCCATTGTGACTCACCAGATCTTTGTCTTCGGAATCGGTGTCAGTCTCGCTGTCATCAGCGATGGTCAGAGTTCCCAATTCACCCGGTTTCAGGAGATTGAACTCAACGACTTCTCCTTTCAGGGCGGTCTGCCGGGCTTTTGCTGGTGCTTTATCAGTCCTCTTTCCTCTGACAAAGGTCACCTTGGGCGCTGGTTTGGAGAAACACTCAGAGGCTCGGTGCCCCTCCTTTCCACATTTGAAACACGTGGAGGATTTTGGCTTGGGCCCTGTCTTCCCCATTGCTGCCTTTGGCACCCCCTTGTGGAGTAAGGAGAGTGGCTGATCCCAAGAGCGCCCACCACGGAGCCGGCTTCATGCCAGATCGATCTCCACGTCTGCTGCTACAACGTATCAGCTCTGCAGATCTTCAGGGACCCCCCACCCCCCCGTGAACTGCAATCTTTGTAAATGTCCTCATTCAGCCCATCTTTATAATTCTCTAGTAGGGCCACTTCTGACCACCCTCTCATGTAGGGCGCCAATTCATGGAACTCTTGGGTGTATTCTGCCACCAATCTCCAGCCCTGATGAATGCCCTTCATTCTGATTCTCGCTTTTCACTTGGCTAAGGGGTCCTCAAAACGCGCTCTGAGGGCTCTCATAAATTGATCATAATTTCTCAGGAAGGGAGAGTTATTATTGAGGAGTCTCACCATCCATTCAGCTGCTACTCCCTCTAGGGCTTTGGTAACACACCTCACTCATGTGGCATCTGAGAGGAAGTCCTCTCCCCAGTCCTGCATATGGTTCCATACTTGGGTCAGGAAAAATCCCAAAACCCCTCCTTCAACCCCTCAGCTACACGTAGGTCAGACTGAAGTCAGCATAGTTCTAAGTTGAAGCCCAAAATTTGAAGTCTGGTGGCATAAGGTATTTTGTTGCAGGTAGAGGAGTGGAGTATTCAAGAATTTTCACCACATGCTCTTTAGAAATTTATTTCACACATCTCCAAAGATTCCTACCAAGTACATTTGTGCTTGTATATCATTTATTTTCCTGGGATGTGGCTTTCTCTATGTTTCTGCTTGAAATCCACCGTCTCTTATCCATTTCCTCCATTCCCCCTTGCCATGGATGAGAGGTGGCCTTCTCTCCACCCAATCCTTCTGTGATTGACAGATATGTGAACCACAGCTAGTCTGTGAGTCACATCCTTTGAACGCTACCATTTGGATGGTTATCAGAGGCCTTCTCAATCTCTTTGCCTTCTTTTTTCAGCCATCAATTCCTCAAATTTCCAACTGCAGTTACATTGACAGAGCTTGGTGGTGCATGAGCCATGATGGTGCAGTGGTTAGAATTCATTAGAATGCCAGCAGTTAGGCAGTTCAATTCTGACCGGCTCAAGGTTTGACTAAGCCTTCCATCCTTCTGAGGTAGATAAATTGAGGGACCCAGATTGTTGGGGGCAATATGCTGACTCTGTAAAGTGCGTAGAGTGGGCTGTAAAGTACTATGAAATGATATATAAGTCTAAGTGCTATTGCTATTGCTATTCTAGGGATTATGGACTGCCCTGAAATATTGTTCGTCATCTGATGGGTTGTAAACTGAATTAAAATTGCCCACAAGAGCAGTACTATCCATATAAATTATTGGGTGAGTAAGTTGTTAAAACAATTGATTAACTTTCTTTTTTTCAGTTCTGTTTTTATTTTATTCAAAAGAAAAGTTAAAATACAAAGCTCAAAGAAAAGCAAAACAAACAAGACATTTTAAAAAGTGCATTACCAAAAAGAAAAGAAAAAAAACAGCTCACACACATACAGATATTATTCCCCCCTAGTTGCATATTGATTAATTCATTGCTGCAATATTAGTTTCCCACCCATTGAAAAAGAGGCTCCTGAAATTTTTAAACTATTTGCAAAGTATTAACCTGTCATCTATATATTATATTAATATATATATGTTATATTAATGACAAAATAGTTAACAAGAAGAACAATAATAATAAAAAGGCAAGACTAAAGTTTCAAAACGCTCTGTAAACAAACCGTTATTTTAATCAGCTCATAGAAAATTTATCGTGGTATCTTGTCTATCCCAAATTTATTTATTCATTTTATTTATTTGTCAAGCATGTATAAGATAACAGATATAAGTATAAACACGATTCTGAATACAGGATAAGGATACCAATACATGGAGAGAGTAGGACAGGGACGGTAGGCACATTGGTGCATTTATGCACATCCCTTACAGACCTCTTAGGATTTGGGTGGGGTCAACAGTAGACAGTCTAAAGTTACAGTTTTGGGGGTTTGGGGATGAAACCACAGAGTCAGGTAGTGCATTCCAGGCATTGCCCACTCTGTTGCTGAAGTCCTATTTTCTGCAATCGAGTTTGGAGTGCAACAGATGAAATAGTTTGCATCTATTGAGTGCTCGTGTATTGTTGTGGTTGAAGCTAAAGTAGTCATTGACAGGTAGGACATTGTGGCAGATAATTTTATGTACTACACTTAGGTCAGACCCAAGTCAGCATAGTTCTAAGTTGACTAAGCCCAAAATTTGAAGTCTGGTGGCATAAGGTATTTGGTTGCGGGTAGAGCAGTGGAGTACTCTTCTCGTGAAATATCTCTGTACTTGCTCAATTTTATTAATGTCTGATATGCAATGCAGGTTTAAGATAGATGAGCTGCATTCAAGAATTGGTCTAGCAAAGGTTTTATATGCCCTAGTTTGCCGTACAATATTACCAGAGAAGAAGCTTCACAAGATTAGGTTAACAACTCTTAATGCCTTTCTGGCAATGCTGTTACAGTGAGCTCTGGCAATTAGATCATTAGAGATAAGTACTCCAAGGTCCTTGACAGAGTGAGGGTCGTATGTTAGGTCGTATCCGTCTAGTTTGTATTTTGTGTTCTGGTTTTTTGTTTTGTTTTTTTTTTGCCAATGTTTAGGACAGAGCATTTGTTGGTTGAGATTTAGAGTTGTCAATTGTTTGACCATTCTGACACATAGTCAAGCATCTTTGTAGGGTAGCAGCATTGTTGGTGGTGTTGAATGGTTTTTCATCATCAGTGAAGAGAATGCAGTTGCTTATATATGATTGCAAAGGTCATTTATGTAAAGTATAAAGAGTGTGGGTCCTAAAACGCTGCCTTGGGGGACACCACTGTTGACAGGTGCAGGGTTTGATAGGGCGCTCCCTATTTTGACTACTTGCTGCCTGTTTGATAGGAATGCAGCTATCCACTTATGCAGAAATCCAGAAGTTTTTAGTTTTAGAAGTAGCTTGTCGTGTACCTCTGAGTTGAAGGCCTTACAGAAGTTTTTGTAAATTGAGTCTATTGCTTTGCCCTGGTCAAGTTGTGTAGTCCATATGTTTTTGCAGTGTAAGAGTTTCAGATTATAGGACAATTTTTTCCTGAAACCAAATTGTTTGTTAGAGAATAGAGAGAGGAATGTCAGCATTCCAGAAAACCCCAACTCCGAGTAAAGACGCGGAAGCAAGCATTTTCCAAAGTTCTCTTTACTAGAATAAGCAAACTGGCACATCTGGGAAAACCCGAATCTGAAAGGTCCGGGTTTTCCCTCAGTAAATCAAAACCCCCCAAACCATCCCCTCACTCCCCAGTCCATCACATGCTCCAATCCACATCCGTCCCATCTCGACTCAGCACCCTGACCACTCCTTCTCCAGATGCTGGATCGCCCTGACTTTGACCGACAGGAAGAATGCTATTATATCTACAGACAACCCCTCTACTAAATCCCCCCTCCTACTTTCCAACACATGAGAAGGTGGCAGCATTGAAGCTTCCGGCCTAATATGGCTTCCAAAGCTGACAGGTTGTTTGTCTCTAAGTGGAGGGTAATAGATTGGTTTATGATTGATTCCATGACTTTGTAGGTGACGCAACATAAAAGAGTAACAGTGATTCAGCCTGGATCAAATATCCACATTTATTTCTAAATACCATCTGTTATCAATTTTTGTCTGGTTAAATATAATAAATTCAATCTCCAAGTCAGTCTATCTACTCAAAAACATCCAGGTGAAATTGTTTTCCAGTTAAGTGTGATAAATCCATTCCCCAAATTGCCTTCAATCCTACTAGGGAAAACCAATTTATTACTTCTCCAATTAGTTAGGTTTCTGCTGTTGTAAAATAATTCAGGCTTGAACTTCATGGAGGTGTGTGCAATCAACTCAGTTCTCAGTGTGTACAGTCCATATTTCTTTCCAATGAATCTGCCACTTTCAAATCACATTCCTTTTCTGAATCTAATTTATCTCCAGCTACATGCATCTGAATATTTTCAACAGCCATTATCATTTCATCAAACTTTTTAAAAGGCTTTCAACTAAGGATTGCATTTTACCAAACTTTTTTTCATATATCAGCCAGATTTGCTTGTCTGTAATCTGATACATTGTTGCTCGGTATAATTTAACAATGATAAATAAGATAACACAGGAAACACAAAATGCTGGCTCAAGGTTGACTCAGGCTTCCATCCTTCTGAGGTTGGTAAAATGAGGAACTGGATTGTTGGGGGCAATAGGTTGACTCGATAAACCGCTTAGAGAGGGCTGTAAAGCACTGTGAAGCGATATATAAGTCTAAGTGCTATTGCTATTGCTAAAATAACTAATCAAGTTCATCACTAGCACTTGAAGAAATGTATTCCTCATTGTATTTTACTTGATTAAGTACATTTGTCTATAATTGTGATATAAAGAAAATATGTGAGAATTATTTTGCATATTACTGGTTAGAATTAAATACCTTAAGGAAGTAATCTTCACGGAGCCAAAGCCCAACTGCCAAGGCAGATCCAATCAGAGGCAGAGCCAAAGGACCAGGTGGCAAATGTCTTCGGTACCAGAGTTCTTTTAGGAAGAAGAGAATCAGCAGAGCAAGCAACAAAAAACACAAAAATACCCCTGTCACCATCATTTTCCTGCTTTTTCTTTGATGCTCACTGGTGGATCTGAAGATGATTGTATGCTTTTGTCTGATGCCATATTAATGTAATGTACAGGTAGGGATGACAAAATTGCTGCACACCCAATGACATGAAGATTTAAAGTAATTTTTTGAGGAAGAGGTGGAGTGGAGTATGGATAATTGGAGCTTGGGTAGGGAATGTACACATCAAGTTAAGATTTACCTACACACAGGACTGGTTTTCACAAAAAGCAAGGTCCTTCACTCCCACATTTTAAGAAAAAGCCTGTGCCAATCCCATAGGGCAGCTCGTCAAGTATAGCTACTTGTGTTGTCTACTTCCAGTCATCAAAATATATAACAGCAAAATAGTGTCAATTATGACAAATGGCACAGAGCTGTGGGAATATATAAATGCCCCTTTACTGGAAACGATGCAGTCTACTTTTCTGAAATGTATCCCGGGGGTGGATAACTCTACACTGTTCCCAGCAATAAGGGTTGACTTGGATATACCTCCTATACAGGTAGTCCTTGATTTACAACAGTTCGCTTAGTGACCATTCAAAGTTATAACGGCACTGAAAAAAGTGACTTATGATTTTTCACACTTATGACCGTTGCAGCATCCCCAAGGTCACTTGATTTACATTTGGATTACTGACTCATATTTATGATGGTCGCAGTATTCCAGGATCATTTGATCACCTTCTGCACCCTTTAGACAAATGTAGCCAATGGGGAAACCAGATTCACTTAACTGTGTTACTAGTTTAAGAATGGCAGTGATTCACTTAACAAATGTGGCAAAAAAATCGTAAAATGGTACAAGACTCACTGAACAAATTTCTGGCTTAACAACATAAATTTTGGGCTCAATTGTGGTCATACATTGAGGGTTACTTGTACAAAGCCATCTAGTCGTTAAAGTATTCAACTAGAAAACTTGGAAACCATATTGTGGCTGAAGATCCCGGTCTGTGAACCCAGATAGATTAGCTGAGCATGCTACTTCGCAATTGGGCTAACCAATTTTCAAATGTCTTCACAATGTGGCTTCTCTATCCAAATTTCAGTCCAATCTTATCTAAAAGCCAAAGAAGCTGTCAAAGAGTCATTGATGTGACTGCCCAATATGATATTGTAGCACTTAAATATGTTAAATCTTTGAAGTGGCTTAATTAGAATAGAATAGAATAATAACTTCATTGTCACTTTGAATGTACATTCATTGGCATACATTAAAAATGAAATTTTGCTGCAAATAACTCTTAAAGAGTCACTGCCTCCAATATTACACTACATAAACATGACTAAATACATACATACATACATACATACATACATACATACATACATACATAATTATGTATATACCAGGGGTCAATGATACCGGTTCGCTCCAGTTCGGGCGAAGACAGGATTTGAACTCATCATCCCTTGCTGTCATGGCCCCATTGTATCCCAGTTTGGAAGAAAAGGAGGAATTGGAACCGGGACCATCTGATGGGCACATAGAATAGAATAACAGAGTTGGAAGGGATTTTGGAGGTCTTCTAGTCTGACCCCCTGCTTAGGCAGGAAACCCTACACCACTTCAGACAAATGGTTATCCAATATCATCTAAAAAACTTCCAGTGTTGGAGCATTTACAACTTCTGGAGGCAAGTTGTTCCATTGATTAATTGTTCTAACTGTCAGGAAATTTCTCTTTAGTTCTAAGTTGCTTCTCTCCTTGATTAGTTTCCACCCATTGCTTCTTGTCCTACCCACAGGTCTTCCCTGGAGAGTCCAGGGGCTGAAGTCGATGCTATCCCAGGCCCCTCCAGCATTGGGGGAAGTGTTTGACAAGACAGGGAGTTGTCTGCCTTCACAAACATAAGCAAGGATCAGCTGCAAATAGACAGTAGTGATGAGAGGCAATAGATTCCCTTCTAGGGCTGCCACAAAGAAGAAAGGGTCAACGTATTCTACAAAACACCTGAAGGCAGGACAAGAAGCAATGGATGGAAATGAACCAAGGAGAGAAGCAACTAGAACGAAGGACAAATGTCCTTACAATGAGAACAATCAACCAGTGGAACAACTTATTTGTGGGTGATCCAACACTGAAGGTTTTTAAGAAGAGAGGACAACTATTTACCTGAAATGTTATTGGGCTTCCTGCTTCAGCAGGGGGTTGGACTAGAAGACCTCAAAGGTCCCTTCTGTTAACTCGTGGGCGGAAGAATGGACAGGACATGCAGTAGAATCAAACACCTTTTATTAGCTCCATAATCGCAATAGAGAATCCTAGCCACGGCAGCTCCTTTTATAGCCACTGACGTTACTCTGAATTTCCCACTCACGTCCCTGATTGTCCATTCAAATCTGCCATTCAATACTCAACATCTTCCAACTCTGTTATTCTGATGCTTCTTTCCAAGAATAGAATCCTGTAGATTGTGCATTATTCCAGCATCCCAAAATAATTTTACAGTTCTCAATCAGTTAAAAAGAATCTTCTAACACATCCTGAGTGTGTATGTGTGTGTATGTATGTGTATGTGTGTATATATTCTACATCTTGAGTTGTACAACTCGTTTACCTCTGATTTTCTGTTGAAATAGTGGAATCCAGGCAAAGGTAAATGTATGCTACATTGCTAAGAGAACATGGAGCTGGAGAACATGCCAGTAATGGAGATGCAGTTAAATTAGACATTATAAGTACCAATATCTAGGATAGAAAGCCGATATAACTGTCTGTTCAGAGAAACCTGTTCTATTCCTGTCTTCTCCAATCAGCTACATGTGAGTCATTATCTAAAATAGAAATTACTCTTCAGAACTCAGGCCCAGAAGATTTTGAAATTATTACACAATTGCAGAATTAGAAGGGGCCATTTGGGCTACAAAGTTCCACCTATTGTCCACTGCAGGAATATAGAATAAGGCATCTTCAACAAGAGAATGTCTAGCATCATTTGAACAAAATGAAGGGGGAATCCACTCTCTCTTTCTCTGAATAATTAGTTCCATTATCAAACATTTCTTGGTAAGATTGAATTAGAATCTCTCTTCTAAATATTCAGCCCCATTACTTCACATTACTTCACAGTTATAAACAAGTCTAACCTGAATATTGTCTGTGGAGATTCTCAGTCCTCCAGGTCATGGTAGTCCCAAAGGTTCTTTTTCAAGCGGCAACTGGGCTTTCTGGTTTTTCTTTGAAGACATTTTGTTTCTCATCCAAGAAGCTGAGCTGAAGAAATTTCTTGGATGAGAGGTGAAACATCTTCAAAGAAAAACCTGAAAGTTCAGTTGCCTCTTGAAAAAGAACCTTGAAAAAGAATCTCTTGAAAAAGAACCAGCATTACTTGAATATTGTGGCATGATGAATTATATCATAATTGTTAAAAGAAAACAATTGAGAATTATCTTGCATACTACTGGTTAGCATTAAATACCTTATGGAAGTAATCTTCACGGAGCCAAAGCCTGTTGTGGCCCCACCCTCCGAGCCTATCTCATCGGAGGAAGAAGGCTCCGAACATGAAGAAGAGGAGTCGGCCAGGCCTCCCTCTCTAGGCCCCTCCCCTCTGGCACTGCCTCAAGTGCCGGCCAAGGAAGAGGAGATTAGCCAGGAGCCAGGTGTCTCCGATGAGAGCGAGGGAGGTGATCTGTCGTTCCTGGATCCACGCCAACGAAGGCGTGATAAACGGTTGCAGAAGTTAAGGAGGCGTGCCAGGGATTATAACTGAGTCACTGGACCACACCCCAGAGACTATATAAGAGAGTGTGGTGGCTGTTTAAGACTCTGTGACGAACAAACACTAACTCTGGCTAGTCACTTGAACAACGCTTAAAGCTGCCGAAGGTTTCTTGTTTGGAACTGGACTATTTGCAATTCGTATGTATTTTCTGTTTAACTGATGAAGTAAAGCCCTTGGCAGTCGATGATCGTATAGCTGCCAAGTTTTAGATAACAACCTGTGTGCGTGCCAAGTGCTTTCTTAACCCTCGGCTGGCTGTGTTTGTGTGTGTGTGGAGACGGGGACAGAACAAAGCCCAGTTGACAAGAAGGTCCCAACGAGTGGCAGAGCCAAAGGACCAGGAGGCAAATGTCTTCGAGTCCAACATTGTTTCAGGAAGAAGAGAATCAACAGAACAGGCAGCAAAAAAATCAAAAATGTCCCTATCATCATCATTATTTTGCTACTTCTTTTTCCTTGAAGCTCACTAGTAGATTTGGAGATGGTTATATCCTTTTGTCTGATGCTTTTTGCTCTTCCTCCTGTATTCATCAATGGGAATAAATAAAAAGATGTTTTGATTATTAGTTTGAGTATCACTAGTATTTTGTCAACAAGTTATTATATATTAATCTACATGAATGAGGTTCCCTCTGACCCTGCATCACTCAAATAATAATGAGATTTCTTTAAAAAAGACTAGGACTGTATAATCCAATAGGTTCCTAAAATGATACTATGCCCGCATTATTTGGAAATCATGATGAAAATCATGGTGTTTCATACATCCATGAAATATACAGAAAACTCTTGTTCGGCCACAGAGATATTATCTAGTCCAGGATTATGTCTCATACTTTTTACCCTTGCAAGCCCAGCATCAGGATTTTAGCATGAAGAATCTCACTTCATTATCATGAAAAAGAAAAACTCACTCAACTTTGCTTACAAATAAGGGAACGTCTTCATGAAGGCCTCATGCTGCTGAGAACCTCTGGTGAGAACCTCTGCACAGTCTCTGGTACTGTGCAGCCTTTTGCAACAAAAACAAGTGTAACCACCATGCTAATAAGGAAGGACTGTTTGCATAGATTCTGCAGTAGCTGTTAATGATTGAAAGGTGTCCTAAATCCAAGCAGCAAATTATAGGTAGAGAGCTATGGGTGTTTAGAAATACCTACTTAAAAATGTTGTCAAAAATCCAGCTGCCTAATCCATGACCACATCTGGAAATGATCCATGCTAAAGCTTTAGCAGAAAAAATAGCCCAACTTTGAAGCATCATTAAACCTAATAGATATCAGGAGGCTTGAGTTATCCATTATGATAGTGTGTTTTGTCTTTTGGCCCAATAGCAACAGCACTTAGACTTATATACTGCTT